CGGCCGCCCCCCCGCAGCCGGCCCCGCCGCCGCCGCCCGCGGCGCCCCCGGCCGCCCCGCCGGCGGCCCCCGCGGCGCAGACGCCCCAGCCCCCCACCGCCCCCAAAGGGGCCAGCGACGCCAAGCTCTGCGCTCTCTACAAAGAGGCCGAGCTGCGCCTGAAGGGCAGCAGCAACACCACCGAGTGTGTCCCCGTGCCCACCTCCGAGCACGTGGCCGAGATCGTGGGCAGGCAAGGTAAGCGGGCGCCGGGACCGCGGAGAGGGACTGGAGTGGGGGGCACCCCATCCCAGCACCGAAAGTTCATTTCCTCTCTCCTTGCCCGCCTCTGGCTCTGTCCCTTCCCCACAAAGGGGGACCCGCCCCCTACCCCGATTCCCGAGTGCCACAAAGTTCCCTGCCGCCCCCAGTCGGGACTGTTCTTCAGATAGTTCCTTCCCGAGGGCCCTGCCTGTAGACAAAGAAATACCCTCTCCTCGAGAGAGGGAGAGGGAGGGGATCGGTCTCCCAATCCTGGAGGCTGTCCGGAGGGGATGTCCACTCCTGGCCAGAAAAACTGGCAGAATGTGCAAAGAGTTACTCAGAGGCCCCTGCTCGGGGATCCGCTGGTGGGCTGGGGAGGAGGCACCCCTGGGACCCCCTACAGCTGGAGTTACAGACTTTGGGGGAGACCTGGCAGGGGAAGCCAGACTGAGTATCTGTCTCTTTGTTGGGCTGAGTGCAGGAATGGAAGGGGGTGTGGCTCATGGGAGGGTCCCAGCCCAGGGGAGAGGTGGGGAGGGGGGCTGCTGGGAGGAGGGAGTCCTGTGGTCACCCACACACCAAAGTTGAACGGTCTGTGGGGTTTGGGAAGGGTTGCCTCCGGAGAAGTGCGGCGTCCTGGCGTGGACCTGTCCTCCTCTCTCTCAGGCTTTTGTTCTGGGCTGGCCACGGCCAGGGGCCAGAGGCCTGGAGAGGGGTCTCTCCTAGTTCGAGAGTAGGACAGGGCAGGAGGGGGCATGCCGGGCGGCAGGGGGGCAGCGAGAAACCTTCACGTGGAGGCTTGGTCGGAGGGCGTGTGTCTGGGTGTGCTGTGGGGTGGGGGGGGTGTAGAATTAACCCAGCCTAGTGTGTCTGATACCACACCCTCCTGGGCTCCAGCATCCCTGGGCGGGTGCGGGTGGGAGTGTTGGTGAGGGTCCAGATTGAGCAGACGGGATCTTGGGGACCTTTCCCTCTCCCGGTTTCCCAGAGGGGAGTGGGGGGGGGTGGGATTTGGAAATTGCAAGAGGGCTGGGCTGGGGAGGTCTGGGGTGGGGGAGGAGCGGGGGAGGAGCTGTCCCACAGTGGGGAACAATAGAGGGGCTGCATTCCGGCTGGGAGTGAGGGAGGAGGCCCGCTGCCGGCAGGCCGAGGGGAGAGGGGAATCGAGCCAGGGGGGCACCCCCCCAACAGCACACCCCGTCTCATCTCCCCAAAGTGCTTGGGGGTTGGAGGCATTTTGCAGTGAGATCCAGAATGGAGGAAGGGAAGATACCACTCCCCGTGCATGTCCCTCATCCCTCTGGGGTGCTCCATCTCCTGAGATTTCTGGTTCAAAAAGTTGGATCTCCTCTTGTTGCCAGAAACTAGGGACCCGGAGCCCTGGAACTGGGTGGGGACACTGATATCTTCCCTTGGGCGGCTGGCCTTGGGAGGCCCCAGGATTTCATGGAGTCATCCTTCTGCCTCTCAGCACATGGGCCTGTCTCTCTTATAAGTGGGGGCATTTCTCCTATTCTAAGAAAAGAGGCTTCCCCTTGGTCCTTAAGTACGTGGAAGTCCTTCCTCTTGTCTAACCTCCCTCCCCTGCTGCAGTGCCAGCACGCCTCTTTCTGACCTCTAGAAAGGTGAAGTCCCGTGGCCTTCCCTTCCAGACGTGTTTGTCCAGGGCTCCAGAACCCAGGGTGAGGTCCACCCGTTCTGCACCTCTGGGCCCCGCCTGTCTGCCTCACCCCAACCCCCGAAGATACCCAGCTCCCACTTAAGTTGATGGACCCAGAACTTAGAGCCAGCACCCAGATGCCTCTCAGAGGTCGTGGGAGTAGAGAGTCGTAGGAGGAGTCAAGGCTCCTCACCCGTTGGTGCCTCACACTTAGGATGAACACTGACTGCATTAAAGCAGCAAGGATGTGGGCTTGACAACAGGTAGGACTTCTCACCTGCCAAGAGGTCTGAAGACAAAAGGAGGAGCAAATTCTCCTTCCTGAGGTCTCTTGAAGGTGAGGAGCTCCTCCCCCAATCCACTCTGTCCCGACCCCCCTCCCCCCCCCCCCCCCCCCCCCCCCCCCCGGGGGGGGGGGGGGGGAGAAAAAGCCGGGGGGGGCCCCGCGGGGGCGGGGGGGGGGGGGGGGGGGGGGGAGATCGG